CTTCGGCTCAGGTCATGATCTCACAGTTTGTGGGTTCAAGCCCCACATTGGGCTCTGTGCTGACAGCTCAGAGCCTGGAGCCTGTTTCAGATTCTGTGTCTCTTCTCTCCCTGCCCCTCCCCCTCTTGCACTCTGTCTCCCTCTGTCTCAAAAATAAATAAACATTAAAAAAATTTTTTTTAAATAAATAAAGTCAATAAAAAAATAATAATGGGCCAAAGGCCTGAACAGGTGCCTCACCAAAGAAGATGTACAAATGGCAAGTAAACATATGAAAAGATGTCCCACATAATATGTCATTAGAGAATTACAAATTAAAACAATAAAATATCATTGCACACCTATCAGAATGGCCAAAATCCAAAACACTGACAACACTAAATGCTGAGAAGGATGTAGAGCCACAAGAACTCTCATTCATTACTGATGGAAAATGCAAAAAGATACAGCCACTTTGGGAGAGTTTGGCAGTTTTTTACAAAACAAACATATTCTTAACATACGATCCAGCAATCACACTGCTTGGTATTTACCCAAGTGAGTTGAAAATTTATGCCCATACAAAAACCTGCACATGGATGTTTATAGCAGTTTAATTCATAATTGCCAAAACTGGGAAGAAACCAAGATGTCTTTCATCAGGGGAATGGAAAATAAATTGTGGTATATCCAGATAATGGAATATTATTCAGTACTTAAAAAAAAAAAAAAGCTATCCTGCAATGAAATGACATGGAGGAGTCTTAAATTCCAACATTGAGTGATTCCAATGATTCTGGAAAAGGCAAAACTATGAAGACAGTAAAAAGATCAGTGGTTGCTAGGGGTTGGAGGAGGAGGATAGGTAGGGATGAATAGAGCACAGTGGATTTTTAGGGCAGTGAAACTGTTCTGTATGATACTACAGTTATGAGTACACATCACTTGACATTTGTCAAAACTTATACAATATACAACACCAAGGGTGGACCCTAATGTAAACTATGGACTTTGGGTGATAATGGTGTATCAGTACAAGTTCATTATTTGTAACGAACATATTACTGTGTGGTGGGATGTTGATAGTCTGGGAGGCTGTGTGGATATGGGGACGGGATATATGAGAACTCTCTATATTTTCTGCTCAGTTTTGCTGTGACCCTAAAACTGCTCTAAAAAATACAGCTTATTAATTGAAACTTTTTTGGGGGGGGGCGCCTGGGTGGCGCAGTCGGTTAAGCGTCTGACTTCAGCCAGGTCACGATCTCGCGGTCCGTGAGTTCGAGCCCCGCGTCGGGCTCTGGGCTGATGGCTCAGAGCCTGGAGCCTGTTTCTGATTCTGTGTCTCCCTCTCTCTCTGCCCCTCCCCCGTTCATGCTCTGTCTCTCTCTGTCCCAAACATAAATAAACGTTGAAAAAAAAAAAAAGAAACTTTTTTTTTTTTTTTTGAGTGTGGCACACTGGTAAGAGCCATCCTACTCAAGGTACAATGTTGCATGAATAAAGGAAGTTCAGAACCATGCTTTTTGATGTATCTTCCTATTTTCTGTAGGAATAAATAAATAAATAAATAGGGAGAGAGAGAGAGATTGAGAGAGAGAGAGAAATGGGTATGCTTAAATACACCCAGAACATAGACTATGGAAGGACCTAAAAGAATTTGCTAACAGGGGTTTCTTCTGGAGAGTGGGTTAGGGAATCAGGAATGGGGAATTTGATTTCCTTTAATATACAGATTAGAATTGTTTTGAAAGAGAGAGAGAGAGAGAATGAACTTTAAGCAGCCTCTACTGTGGAGCCTGACTTGGGGCTTGATCTCACGGCCACCCAGTTGCCTCTACAGTTTTAATGTTCTGGCTTTCCCATGATTATTTACTTTAGTTATTTAAATAATAACAAGTGGATTTTTTTTTTTTTTTTTTTTTTGCAGAATATTCTAGCAATTCAGGTAGGGTAAAAGTGCTCTTGAACTTCCTCCACCTAGTTCTGTCCCCCTCCCAGGAGAGAACCTCTGCTAGCAGTTTATCTGTATCCTTCTTTTATGATTTTTAAAGGCATATGTAAATCACTTTGAGCTGCTTAAATCTCTGTGTTTACTATTAGTTGTAAAAGTCCCTAGTGACCACAGAAATACTCCTTACAGGGAAAGGGAAGTTTTAAAATAGGGGAGAGACAGTTTTTGTCACAAACCAGCCCAGCAGCAGGGAAAACCCCAGGCCTTTTTTAGATCTCGGAGAGCAGAAGGATGGCTTGAGGTGACCGGCCAGGAGCTGGGAGCAGACAAAGAAAGGAAGCCCAGAACAATAGGGTCCCTCCACCTCTGCCCTTATGGAGGCGAGGCCACTAAGTAAGTGTGGAGTTGGCCTTATCAATGTAATTTAGGGATTAGAAAGCTGCCAGAGTTAAGATTTTAAGTCATTACTTTGAATTCTAAGGTAGGGTATAGTGTGAAGAGTTGAAAAGTCTGAGGGTCCAAACTCATCACTGGTGAGAAAGGGATATGGAAGATAGTGCCACTTCAGTTCCTTTGCTCCTTTACGATTGTTATAGGGGGTAGAAATACATGTGTTCTAGAATCCTGTCATTAAAGAAGTTACTTTCTGGGGTGCCTGACTGGCTCAGGCAGTAGAGCATGGAACTCTTGATATCAAGGTTATGAGTTCAAACCCCACATTGAGTGTGAAGCCTACTTAAAAAATAATAATAGGGGTTCTCGTGGTTCATTAGTTCTAGCCCCGTATTGGGCTCTGTGCTGACAGCTAAGAGCCTGGAGCCTGCTTTGGATTCTGTGTCTCTTTCTCTCTCTGCTCCTCTCCCACTCACACTCTGTCTTTCTCTCAAAAATAAATAAACATTAAAAAAATAATTTTAAAAAATAATAATTTTAGAAAATAAAGTTGCTTTCTGTGTCATTTTTGGATTATAAGGCCATGTACCCAAAATATTAATTTATTCTCCGATCATAAAAAAAAAAAAATCACTGAATTTTACCCTGTTCAGTAGATATGTCTAGAGAGCTGGGAAATTCCTAATCGGGACCTCTGATTCAATGGGAAAGACTTGTGGCTTGGACCCGACTTCTGTCCCTCACTGTTGTGTGATCTCTCACTGAATTGCTCAATGCTTCCTTCATCTCATCTGTAAAATGAGACTGTTGGTACAAACTATTTCTATCATCCTACAGCTTGAAAATCTATTAGTTGGACCCATCTAGTTAATATAAGACTGTCAGACTGAACCATACATTGAAAATGAAGTGGGGAGCTGGATCAATGTTATGGATCATTCTGGAAAAAAATAAAACATAAATTGGACCCTGATTAGATATGTTTCAGGCCAAATTGTGTGTTCTGTTTTATTTTTCTGAGCCATGAGACCAGAATCCTACCTGATGGATCAACACAACTCGCTTGTTCTCGGCTCCATTTCACCTAGGTTGTCCCCCCAGATATTCAAACATGTATACCTAAAAATGCCAGGCATAGTTTGCTTGCTCTATATATGTGCTAGAAAAACAAATGCGTTCTTTCAGCCTTAGTACTGACCAGGTCTCACATATAGGGTGTTTACCATCATTTAGCTAATCAGCCCTTCTCAAACTTTAAAGTGCCTATGAGTCACCTGGGAACCTTATAAAATGCAGATACTGATTCATTCATCTGGGGGGAGGCTCGGGAGTCTGTATTTCTAACAAGCTCCCAGCTGCTGCTGCTGCTGCTGCTGCTGCTGGCCTGTGTTCTACACTTGAATCAGCAAGGGGCTAAACCACCAGCCCCTTTCTGTCTTTTATAATCTTCTTTTCCAAATGCAAGCTATTTTTGATGAAAAATAATTAACTCCTTAACTGATAAAACCAATGCTGCTTTCAGATAGTATTTGTGAAATAAAGCCAGAATTAAGGTCATTCCTAAAATAAATGTGTTGGGTCTGGATGCATAACACTTTGTTAATAGGATAGGAAACTTACAAGCATGTTTCTTTTTCTTTCATTTTATAGATAGATACCATATACAATAGCAGAGACTTATTAACATATATAAATCCCTTGCTCCAGAAAAAGATTCAAGGCAGTAGGCTGTGAGGCTTACTGAGATAACCTATGTGAAAAATCTTAGCCTCGTGCCGAGTACTTAAACAATAACTAACCAAAAGCTATATAACCAAGTAAGGAAAAATATATGAAGGAGCATTTCATGGAAGAGAAATCCAGTATGGTCAATAACATGAGAGATGTACAACCTCATTAGCAGTCAGGGAACTGATGATCACTTTATGACCTTCAGATTGGCAAAATGAAAAAATCCATATGCTAGCACATGCTGCTGAGTATGTATTATACTGCTTGTGGAATTTAAGTTGGTGCAATTGCTTTGGAAAACAATTGAGCATTACTTGAGAACGTTGAAGAATATAAATATCCAGTGATCCAATAATTGTAATCATTGCTACAAATCTGAGAGAAACTCTTACACTATCCATCAGTAGACAAGCACAAGGAAACTCATAGTATCACTGTTCATAACAAAAAAATGGAAACATCCCAAATGCTCATTCATGGTAGGGTAAGTAATTTTCTATTCATGTGGTAGATATTACATAACAGTGAAAAGTGAAGGTACTACAGTCACATACATCATCATGGATGAATCTTACAAACTTAATGTTAGGGGAAAGAAAAGACAGAGAAGAATACATGAAATATGAAAAACACAAAATGAAAACATGAGTTATTTAAGAAGGCATATATATATATATATATATATATATATATATATATATATATATATA